GTAGCCTTGGAGACCCCTCCTTGGGACTTCAGGAGTCTCAGCGGTCCCTTGATTTGGCGTCCCACCCTCCTGACGCAGCGAGACTATAATAAGTGCTGCCGTGGGCGGCTCTTGGAGGCAGGAGCCCGCGGCGTGCACGGCCTGGTGGGGGTGAGGGTGGGGGGGCTGAACCAAGGTGCCAGGAGCCCTTTGTTCTCCCAGAGGCCTGTACCCAATTCCTGCAAGTTTCTGTCCCAGGGGTCATCAGCTTCTCTCTCCCTTCCGACAGAACCAAGATGACACTAACCCAGGAGGACAGGAGATCCTTCAGCTGCGCTTTTTGAAGGAGAGGGTGAAGGGGAATTATTGGTTCCAACTTAATCTTCCCTCCTTTGACGGCCTCAGTTTTCCTTTATGTTGAATGGGAACAGACTCCTAACTCTTAGGAAAGGAGTAGAACAAATCACCCAGGAAGAGAGGAGCCTTCTCAGAGGTCTCAGCCTCCACCTCTCTTCACCCCCTCCTTCTCCAGAGTGAAGCAGAGCTTTTCTATCTGGCCTAAACCTCTTTCCTTCTCCCCCCTCACCCCCTGTTTTTCACAGAGGTGGGGCTTAGAGTTCCTCCTTAGGAGGCCCCATGGATCACGCCCCCTGGGTCTGCCTTTCCAACCTCTAAGACTGTCAGGGAACGTTTTGGGTGTAGTTCCTGGCAAAGGGTGAGGGACAGGAGGTGAGAGGGACATTAGCCAGAAGGGGAACAGGAAGGGATCAGAGCGTCCCACCAGGAACCCAATGCAGATCGTTCCTTCCCCAAGTCATGCTCTGGTGGCCTCTGACAGAATGGTCTCTTGGCCCCCTGGGGAGGCCATTAGGTTCGGAGAGAACTGGCATGGCTGGAAGAGATGACAGGGTGGCAGGCCCCTTTCAAGAGGAAAGAAGCCTGCTTTTGTTAGCTCCTTGCTACCTCAGAGGTGCATGGGATGATAGCACGCTGGAAACAAGCTCCGCCCCCCTCCCATCCTCAGTGGTGGGGCCTTGTGGATGGAGAGAGGCTGTTCCTGCCAGGGCCCCACCACAGGACTGAAGGCTGGGTAGGCAGGAGGATGTGGCGGATGGTGTTGCCATGGCAGCACTTCCTCCCTGTGTTGTCATCATTTGCTCTAATGGCACTAAGGAGGTAAAGCGGAAGGTGTGTGGGGGGAAGACAGGAACAGGAGCAAGGGGAGGAGAGGGCACCAAGAAGAGGCCTGGGGACGTGTCTTGTACTTCGGCTCTGCAGAGCATGGTGTGTGCACGTGTGCCTGTGCCTGAGAGCCTGAGAGTCTCTGCTTGGTGTATTTCAGTGCGTGTGCGTGTGTATTTCTCTCTGCAGCTGGAGAACAAGAGGTCACTGATCCTTCACGGGTCCTGGGAATGAAAACATTATCCAGTCCCAGAACCTCCTGCCCCAGACTGCTTCCTGCTCTGGACTCCCCAGGCAGGGACCGAGTCTACTATGGGTCTGTCACAGCCCGTCTTCCCCATGCTCGCCAACTTCTCCATTGCCAAGGTCAGCTCAACAGTGACCTGTATTTTGATCTCTTGGGGAAAGGATTAGAGTTGGGGAAAGAGGAAGAATGACACCTCCCAGGCCTTTTTTCATCCTCCTCAGATGTATTTTTCTTTGGAGGCCCAGCTCCATCTTGGAACTTCCTAGTTCCAAGGAAGTTGCAGATTGGGGTGTGATCCATGACCCAGCCAAACTTTTTATGCCCCTGCTGGTCCCCATAACACCCAAGTTGGGGGTTGACTCTCCTCTCACCTTGTATGCTGTCCAGGGAGGCCTGGATGCTGTCCTGAAGTTCAGGGTCGTCCACCTTCTCTGCCAGCTTCCTGAGGCGGCACAGAGCTTGCTTGGCCACCTCATGTCGTCTGACTTCTGCTCTGACTGTGGCTACAGCCAGCTGCCTCTGGGCATGCATGTTGCCCAGACCTGTCTTACCAGGCTAACAGCAACCTCTGGCCCTAAAGTTCATGGTCCTGTAGCCCCCGAACCCTCGAAGCCCCTTCTGCTGTGCCCCAGAACTCCCCGCCCCTGCCTGCCCTTCCGTCTGTCGGCCTCACTTCCTGACTGGTGAGTTTCAAACCCACAGCCTGGGACAGCACTACCTCTTGCATCTCCCACCCCCCCTAGCGTTGGCCCGTCAGCCCTGCCAGCTGGTCCTTGCATGATTCCCCTGCCAGGTGTGTCCCAGGGCCTTTTGTGGGGGGTGGCTAATTAGGATGGGTATTGGTGCTGGGAGAATGTGGCAAGCCAGGTCCAGGTATTGTAATCGCAAGATCTTATGACCCACAGATTTGTGCTGTCTCCACCTCTCTCAGATATCCAAATCCACTTGATCTGTGACCCTCCTGGCCCTGCATTCTAGCGTTCACGTGTTCCCCCCACCCCCCCCACCCCCAACACACTCATGAACCCTGCGTGCTTACCTTTATTTTTTATTTTTTTGAGTTGAAGTCTCACTCTGTCGCCCAGGCTGGAGTGCAGTAGCACACTCACGGCCATGGCAGCCTCGATGTGCTGGGTTCAGGTGATCCTTCCATCTCAGCCTTCCAAGTAGCTGGAACTACAGGCCTGGGTAATTTTTTGATATATTGTAGAGATGAGGTCGTACCAAGTTGCCCAGGCTGGTCTTGAACCCATAGGCTCAGGCAATCCTCTCACCTCCGTCTCCTGAAGTGCTGGGATTATAGGCATGAGCCACCGTGCCTGGTCTTTATGCATGCCTTGTCAAGTCATGACATACTCTTCTGTAACATCACCTAGGACATTTATATATATATATGATATTATCCGACTCAAAAAAAATTATAATTTTTTTTTGAGTCGGATTCTCACTCTGTTGCCCAGGCTGGAGTGCAGTGGCTCACTCATGGCCACCGCAGCCTCGACCTATTGGGCTCAGGTGATCCTTCTGCCTCAGCCTTCCAAGTAGCTGGTGCCACAGGTGTGCAATACCATGCCTGGATGATTTTTATTCTAATTTTTATTAGTTGTAGAGATGAGATCTTGCCAAGTTGCCCAGGGTAGTCTCGAACCCCTGAGCTCAGGCAATCCTTTCACCTTGGCCTCCCAAAGTGCTGGGATTACAGGTTTGAGCCACCACTCCCGGCCCTGCATCCTTATTTCTTGCAGCCGAAGCCTTCCTCAGTCAGCTACCCACTGCGGCCACCTTGGCGAGTGGCGGCAGCTACAGGGAGAATGAGTTATAGAGGAAGAAAGCAACCTATAACCAGACAAAATGACCATGCTCCATGTTCAATCACTTCCATGTCTATAACACTTAGTAGTAATAATTAACATGTCTATAACTCTTAGGAGTTCACAATATACTTTCATATGTATTATCATGACAGGCTAGAGGGTAACATTATTTATCCCTAGCTGCATAAAAGGAAACTGAGGCTCAGAGAGGCCAGTAAGAGATGGAAAAAAAGATGGATTTAGGTCTTCTGATTTTATTGATTGATTGATTGTAGAGACAGAGTCTTGCCAGAGACAACCTGTCAGAAAAGTGCCAAGCTGGTCTGGAACTCCTGGCCTCAAGCGATCCTCTAGCCTCCTTCTCCCAAAGTCCTGGGATTACAAGTGCGAGCCACTGTGCCCAGTCTTAATTTGTTTTTGTTGTTGTTGTTTTTACCAAGCACATGAAACTCAGACTGATATAATTTTGACATCCTTCTCTCTACACCATAAAAACAAGAAGCTTGCCGGCCAACAACCTGTATCTCTAATTCCATTGTCCTGCCCTTGATTTAGGACCTGAAAGAGAAGAATAGGGATGAGGAATTGAAGGAGGGAATGAAGATGGGGTGATGGGGTAGGAAGTGGGAGGTGGTGGACAGTTTGACCTAATTACTTTGTTTCAAGACTCAAGCTGGCCCTGACACATGTCTCTTCTTCTCCTGCATATCTTTTTCATGTCAATTTATAGGGAATAGGGATTTATAACGATGTATTTGTCTCATTGGAGATAAGGACATTGAGGTTGGTGAAACCCACTGGAATCTGTAAAGTGGCCTGAACAGTGATTGCTAACTAACACTGTTAACCATGTTCCAGATACTGTTGTAAGCATTCTACGAGTATTAATTCATTTGGTTCTCACAACAATCCAATAGATGGGTGTGTTGCTATTTATCTGCATTTTACAGATGAGGAAACAAACAAAAAGGCCTTTTGGCCAAAGGCTACACGGCTAGTAAGTGGCAAAGTTGGGACCCGTGCGGTCTGACTGCAGCAGTAAGATTTACAGAATCCAAGTACACCGAGCTGCGGGGCTGACTGAGAGTTTTTCTTTTTTGTTCCTACTAAGATTGCTTCTTTATTTGGGGAACACAGGGATTATGCCTTTCCTCACTCCCATGAAAGAAAAGGACGGTGTGTCTAAGCGCTTTTTCAATAATAAAGTTGTTGATCAACCCACTCTCTGTGACAACGTGAAGACTCTTCCTTCCCCTGTATTTATTCACATCCCAGACTCCTCCGTCCATCTGTCGCACTTTGCATGTCCTGGATCAGGCATGATCTCTGAAGGTCCTGTGCACTGAGTCTCTGGCATATTCACACTCCGTTAGGAGGGGACATGGAGCAGGACAGGGTACGAGTGACACCCAAGCGTGGATTCGCTGGGTGTTGCAGTGCCCAACCCAGGGCCTCCGTGGTCGGCCTAAACAGCTCGATATCTGGCTCCTCTGGGTGTTCCCGAGTGTGATGTAATAAGTCAATGGCGTCATCATGAGGTCACTACGGGACAAGGGGTAAAGGGCAGGGAAGGGCCCTCCCTCGGGAGGGCGGAGTCCGTCCCGCCAGCTCTGGGAGCGCTCCCTCGCCCCCGGGGGCTCTCTTCACCTGAGCTTCTCCATAGCCTCCTCCCTGCGACTGGCCCTCGCCCCGCCCCACCGCAGAAAGCTCCGCTTTCAATCAGGGCTTTCGGAGTCCAGGCTCTGGTCCCTAGGAAAACCTCTAAAAACCCTTCCCCTAGTTTTAAGTTTCACCCAATGAAGCGCCTAGGGGCGGGGCCGGGGACGGGCCAGTGACGTAAAGCAGGTTGATTGGCACTCGGGCCTCGGGAGTCCTGGATTAGCCACGAGTTTCGCCAATCCAGGAGCAGGGGTGGGACGGTGCAGGCGCAGACCTTTGGGTTTGGCTGGCCTTGATTTAAAGAGACAGAAGCTGTCGGGCCCTAGAAGACGGTCCCCAAAACCCTCCCCCGAGTCCTTGGGACCATTTGGGTCCCCAGAGCTGGGGAGATGGTTTGCGGCGGCTTTGCCTGCTCCAAGAATGCGCTGTGCGCCCTCAACGTGGTCTACATGGTGAGGTTTTGGAGGTGGGGTAAGCCTCAGGGCGGAAAGGCTAGTGGGGAGAATCTCTAGGGTACTTCCGGTGAGGCGAGGGGTGTACTGGGGGTTCCGGGAAGATTCCCGGGAACTTCCGGCGAAGAGGGAATTCCTGGGGACTTCCGCGGGAGAGGGGAGACTTCCGGTGGGTGAGGGGGCTTGCCTGGGGGTGGGGCGGGCGAACTGAAGGCTGTGGGCGTAAAGTCCCATCCCTCCCTCCTGTGAACCTGTTTCTCCCAAAATAGAGAAGTGATGGAGTGATGCTAAGCGTTCAGTTTCATAATCAGAGACTCTACCATTCCTGCCACCCCCAACCCTATCCCGGCCATTCCGTCCTCCTTTGCGGGGGGGCCAGTGATACTCCTGGTTCCGATAGCACTGAACCACCCCCCCATTCACACACCACTTCATTATCCTTCCCCCCTCCCCAAGTCCTGGTGTAATGGCTTTGGCTGGGCTGCCTGCTTGTATTCTTTGAGATGTATCCTTTTTGTTTCCTGTAGCTGGTGGGCTTGTTGCTCATTGGAGTGGCTGCTTGGGGTAAGGGCCTGGGCCTGGTGTCCAGCATCCACATCATCGGCGGGGTTATTGCCGTGGGAGTCTTCCTTCTCCTTATTGCAGTGGCTGGACTGGTGGGTGCTGTCAACCACCACCAAGTCCTGTTGTTCTTTGTATCCTGACCTGAAGTGATGGGAGCACCCGGGCTCTTGGGAGGGCTGTCATCTAGACAGACTTAGAAAGAAGGGTAAGGGACTTCAGGGATCTTGGGACCTCTCTGCCTTGCCCTGTACTATAATCTACAAAACAGGAGCTGATGATTCTGTTTTTTTTTTGTTTTTGAGTTGGAGTCTCACTCTTGTTGCCCAGGCTGGAGTGCAGTGGCACACTCACAGCCACCCCAGCATCAGCCTGCTGGGCTCCACCTCAGCCTTCCAAGTAGCTAGAACTACAGGCGCACACTACCACGCCCGGATAATTTTTTGATCTGTTGTAGAGATGAGGTCTCCCTGCGCCCAGGCGGGTCTCGAACCCACGGGCTCAGCCAATCCACTCACCTCAGCCTCCCAAAGCACAGGATTACAGGCTGAGCCACCGAGCCCGACTTCTATCGTTTTTAACTTGATATGGTATTCTATGAATAGGTGAGACTAGGTGGTTATTAGAGCTGTAACACAAGGAATCTAGTTTTTCCATAACTCTTCTTCTCAGTACATGATCATCCTCGGTTTGGTCTTCATCTTCCAGTTTGGAATTTCATGTTCATGTCTGGCTATTAACCGAAGCAAACAGGTAAGGAGACGCCTTTCAAGTACTTAATTGCTTTTTGTTCCCTTCTTCCCTCAACCTTTAATTCCTTCATCTGGCCCCAGCTACCCAAATATCCTTAGGCCTACTATTTCCAGACACTCTGAGTAGGAATCTCTTGTCGTCCAGGCTGGAATGCAGTGGCATGCTCACAACCACCACAAACCTCTACCTGCTGGGCTCATGTGAATCTTCCGCCTCGGCCTTCCAAGTAGCTGGAACCACAGGCATGCACCACCAGGCCCAGCTAATTTTTTTTTTTTTTGAGTTGGAATCTCACTCTGTCGCCCACACTGGAGTGCAGTGGCCACTCCTGGGCACCGCAGCCTCGACTTGCTGGGCTCCGGTGATCCTTCCGCCTCAGCCTTCCAAGTAGCTGGAACTACCCATGAGCTACCACACCCGGCTAATTTTTTTTTTGATTGTAGAGATGAGGTCTCACCAAGTTGCCCAGGCAGGTCTCGAACCCACGGGCTCAGGCAATCCACTCATCTCAGCCTCCCACAGCACAGGATTACAGGCTGAGCCACCGAGTCCGGTTAATTTTTTGATTTAGTGTAGAGATGAGGTCTCACCAAGATGCCCAGGCTGGTCTTGAACACTTGGGCTCAGGCAATCCTCTCACCTCTGCCTCCCAAAGTGCTGGGATTACAGGCGTGAGCCATCACACCTACTTCCAGACTCTTGAACCATCTGCTCCCCCTGGATGTTTGGTTAATGTTCCATGAGAATCTAGAGAGAGCACCTGAGAAGGTGCATATTCACCATTGTGCCTGTAATCATGGCACACAACTGTGCTTCTGGTTGACTCTCTTTGCAGGAATAGGGAAATTGAGGCACTTGAGTTGAGATCAGGATATACAGAAATTAATTGCCCTCTGCCTATATCCTCCAGACAGATGTCATCAATGCTTCTTGGTGGGTCATGAGCAACAAGACTCGGGATGAACTGGAAAGAAGTTTTGATTGTTGTGGCTTATTCAACCTCACAACTCTGTATCAACAAGATTACGATTTCTGCACTGCAGTGAGTGGGGTGGGGGTGTGCAACAGGGCAAGCAGAAAACCGGGTAAAGAAAATGACCAAGTTGGCAGATTTAGTTTGAGTGTCATTGCTTCTCTAGCAGCTGTCTTGTAGTGGGGCTGTTGGTGGGGGAAGGAGGGATAGGCAGAGAGGTTAGGGAATTAGCCAGGTAGAATTTTAGCCTGTAGGACACGGGTCAGATAATTTCTAGGGACATCCATCATAGGTATTGGTGAATAGCCACTTTACATACACACATCTCATCCTCAGATCTGCAAGAGACAAAGCCACACATGCCAGATGTGTGGAGAAAAGTTTCTTAAGCACTCAGACGAAGCCCTGAAGATCCTGGGGGGTGTTGGACTCTTCTTTAGTTTTACAGAGGTAACATTCCCCAGTTCCCTCACATCCACCCTTTCTCTCCAAGTCTCAACTCCAGAGACTGACAACTGATTGGTGATTCTCCATTCTCCCTCTCCCTTTTCCCACAGATCCTGGGTGTTTGGCTGGCAATGAGATTTCGGAATCAGAAGGATCCTAGAGCCAACCCCAGTGCCTTTCTATGAGATTTTGGATGTTCGGACTCCTCTCCTGCTCTAAGCTTTTTCTTCTGCCCTTAGGGAAAACCTAGGGTCTGCAGGCCTTTTTGCTGGAGAAAAAGAAAGACCCTCTGCCACATCCCCTAAAACTGCTGGAATAGCAAGACTTTATGCCTTGATATATTTTGGTGGGAGCAAGATTCTAAGAAAAACTTCCTCTCCCTAGGTGGATATAGGAAGCTTCTGGGTGCATGAGATGGGGGCTGGAATTATTCCCAGCCCTAGCCCCTTTTCCTTCCACATGCCGGATCACCTGAACACACCCTGGCCTGGCTTCAAGGGTAAATCAGGGGCAGAGCCAAGGAGAAAACCACCGAGAACTCTTGTAATAAGCAAGACCCAGTCTGAGAAAATTCAGTGACTATAAAGGTAAAAGCCATTTCAACTCCATACTCTAAGAAGCAACTTAAGTTTCTTTCTAAGCTTTGCCAGTCTAGGGGCTCCACTGACTGCCTTGGCCCTAGAACTTAAGGAGTCCTTAAGGCTTTGCAGGAAGCTCCTTATTCCAAGTGGTTTTTCCAAATCTCTCAACGGCAAAGCAAAACAAAAGAAACATTAAAAAAAAAAGATCATCTTTTTTGTCTTGTTTTTCCTGTATAAAAAAGGGACCCCGATATCAAGGTAGGGATGGGGACAAGAGGGGACATACCCCTTAGTGTAGAGAAATGGGGGGGGGACAGGAGGAGAGGCCTCAAAAGGAGGAGCAGGAAGGGAATGTGATTAAGGCAGCAAAATATTCTCTGTAAAAATGGAGGAGCCTCCGCAGCCTCAGAGATGAAGGCAGAGACGGCCTTCTCAGTGGGGTTCTCTCCACTTAAGTGTCCAGAAGAACGGAAATGGCAGCTTCTCTTCCTCCTGTGGCAGCCACTCCATTGCTCACTCCGGATTACCTTCATCCTTATGCAGATAGGAGTGCTGCAGCGCTCGGAAGGCAGAGATTCGCTTGTGTGGGTTAAAAGTCAGCATCTCCTGAGGGGGGAGCCCAAGGTCAGGAAACCGTAAAGAAAATTTTAAAACAGCCTGCTGCCCCACCCTAACAGTGCCCAGGATGGGCTCTCTTGCTCCCTGTGGATGGGCATTCACAGCTGCAATCAAAACTGCTGCCCAGCTGTGCATGTTGGCTCACGCCTATAATCCCAGCACTTTGGGAGGCCGAGGTGAGAGGACTGCCTGAGCCCAGGGGTTTGAGACCAGCCTGGACAACTTGGTGAGACCTCATCTCTACAAAAAATTAGCTGGGCATGGTGGCATGCACTATAGTGCCAGCTACTTGGAAGGCTGAGGTGGAAGGATTGCCTGAGCCCAGCAGGTCAAGGCTGCAGTGGCTGCACTCCAGCCTGGGCGACAGAGATTCCAACTCAAAAACAACAACAAAAAAACCTAAAACCTGCAACCCAAGCCAGGCACAGTGGTTCACACCTGTAATCCCAGCACTTTGGGAGGTGGGGGGTGAGAGAACTGGCTGAGCCCACAGGTTCAAGACCAGCCTGCGCAACTTGGCAAGACCTCATCTCTACAATAAGTCAAAAAACTAGCTGAGCGTGGTGGCACTTGCCTGTAGTTCTAGTTACTTGAAAGGCTGAGGCAGAGGATTGCCTGAGCCCAGCAAGTTGAGGCTGTGGTGGCCCTGAGCGTGCTACTGCACTCCAGCCTGAGTGACAGAGTGAGATTTCAAAAAAATCAATCAAAACTGCAGCCCATCCACCCAAGGCTTGTTAACTGCAATAATCTGGGGCCTTCTGTACTGCTCTGTTTTTTTACTCCAACCTCACCCTACACCCGTGCCCAAGCCCAGTACCAGCAGAAGCTGTGCTCCAGACTCCTCCATCTCAGGCACCACCGACTGCACCGGGCGGGGCCCCCTGGGGGGGAAGGCTCCCCGCGGCAGAGACACATCTCGGGGCCAGTCATCCTCTGGAGGGAGCCCAATCAGGCTAGGGAGAACAGGAAAACTCTGGTCAGGGGGCTCCTTCTCCAGTTGCCATCCAGGGCTCGGCAGGCAAAGGACTCGGAATGGAAAATCTTTTTCCCCCTTGCTGGTCACTTACTCAAAGATTTTGCCCAACTGGTCGGCTTCAGAGTTTCCACAGAAAAGAGGCCTAAGAAGGGATGAAAGGCAGTGGTCAATTTCAAAGCTATCTTAGTTGGATGGTTACTGCTCAAAATAGAGTATGGAGTATAAAGGGATATGAAGTTCCCAATTTCAGAACATTTCAGAACTTCTGGTTATGGGTAAGGGGGTCAGTGGTACTCAAGTAAAAGAACAGGCAGGGTATGGATGTGGTTTATGAATAAGAGTTGGAGGAGGCTAGGCACAGTGGTTCAAGCCTGCAATCCTAGCACTTTGGGAGGCCAAGGCGAGAGGGTTGCCTGAATCCAGGGGTTTGAGACCAGCCTGGGAAACTTAGCAAGACCTCACCTCTACAACAAATCAAAAAATTAGCTGGGCATGGTGGTTCACCCCTGGAGTTCCAGCTACTTGGAAGGCTGAAGCAAAAGGATCACCTGAGCCCAAGAGCTAGAGGCCGTGGTGGCCGTCAGCATGCTACTGCATGCCAGCCTGAGTGACAGTGAGACTCCGACTCAAAAAAAAAAAAAAAAAAAGTTGGAGGAATTTAAGGTGGTGTAGGGTACTTGGGTCCCATACTTTCGACGAAACATCTCTGCAAAGATACAGCCAACGCTCCACATGTCGACGGGTGTTGCGTATGTTGACTGCAGAAGCACTTCGGGAGCTCGATACCAGAGTGTGACAACCTAAAGGGAATAGGGAGACTGGGTGAGGACCTCAGGCCCCATAGGCGACCACCAAACACAAGTGCACCACTGAACATGTAAAGTGCATGACTTCTCAAGTGCTACAAGTAATCATTCTCCTACTCTCAACCAGAACCCACTTTGACTACCATCTTTCTACTGACCACAGGTGTAAGCGCCATCTGGTAGCTGTAGATTCTGGCCAGGCCAAAGTCAGCCAGCTTGACTGTCCCACTGCTTGTCACCAGAATGTTCTCTGGCTTCAGATCTCGATGAACGATGCAATTGGCATGAAGGAAATCCAGGCCTCTTAGAAACTGGCGCATCAGATCCTAGGTGGAAAGAGTGAGGCACAGATGCAGTGGAAACAGCACCATACCTGAAATCCCAACAGGTTCCCAGGTTTTACTACAAAGGTCCCCATGCACCTCTCAATGCCTGCCCACTCCCCTCACCTTGATGGTCTCCACTGGCAAGCCTGGCGGGGGTGCCTTATCCAGGTATGTCCTTAGGTCTTGGTCTATATGCTCAAACACCAGGGTTACCTTGATCTCCCGGTCGGTTCGGGAGGTGGCACAGACGTCCATCAGCCTGGCCAGAATAAATGGTCACTCCCTGGTCAGTCCCCTTTGACCCAACATGGCCTCCCCTCTTCCCTTACGGTCCCCACTCCTGTCATGCTCACCACGTCCCCACCCATGGGCTGTCTTTTCCCCTGGACACCGCACCGCAACCCTTTACTGCCTCCTTACCGGACAACGTTGGGATGCTCAAAGGCCTCCAGGCGCCTCAGCAAAGCCACCTCCCGAACTGTGCTGACGGGGAGGCCCCCTCCAGCTCCTCCTCCATTGGGGACTCGCACACTCTTGAGGGCCACGAAGTGCCCACTGTGGGGATCGCGGGCCTTGTACACCGTCCCGTAGGCACCAACACCAATTTCAGCCACTGGCTCATATCGAGAGGTAGCCATTCTCGATCAGGGAAGACCCTACAATCACAGAGACTCCTTCCACCAAAATTCCCTTCCAGAACTGGGACGGTATGAGCCTGCAGCAACCAAGTGCCTCCCACGGAAGGCAGCACAAAGACACCACCACCAGCATCCCGTCCCCTCCCCAATCGTCCACGGGGCCTGCCCCGGAGGCAGCACAATGACTCCAATACCAACCCGTCCAGCCATGTGAGGCCCTGGAATAAAGGATGCCTGTTCCTCTGGGACCATCGCGCCCCGCACAAAGGAGATCACGCGTGATCCAGGCCTTGCATCGAAGATCCTACGCCCCAGGCCCTAAGATGACCCCTCCCCGCAACTACAAAGGCCCCACTTCCCGCCCTTGCGCGACCCTTCCATACCCCTCGTGGGAAGCCGTGGGGGGCGGGAACCGGTCCTCCTTCCCGGGAAGGGGCTGCACTCACCTCTCGCCCGGCCGGGAGCTGCGGGGGCGGTCCGTTATCGGGGCCCCGGAGCGGGTTCCCGCGGCGCCATACACCCGAGCTCGGTCGCGGGCAGCTGGACGCTGTGGGCCCGACCATAGACGCAGGCCGAAGGCTAGAGAGGCCCCCTCACCCCCGCCCGTACCATGTGACCAGCTGCCAGAGAGGCGCGCGGAAACTGGCGGGGCGGGGCTAACGCCGGACGTTCGAGGCACGTGACCGCCACCCATGCGCAGAGGGGCGGCCCGGAGCCGCTTTGGACGGGGAGGGGGCGGTAAGGGTAAGGGGTTGGGGGGCGGGCCCCATGGAAGCACGTGATCTGTTGCTATCACACGTGACCACTTGACATTGCTCGGAGGAGCAGAGGTGTGGTTACGCGGCCGGGCACGTGACTGGCTGCCATAACTCTGGCGGGGGGGAGGTGGGGGCCAAGAGAGGGCGGAGCCCGAGGCGGTGCCATGGCAACCTGGGCCACCCAGATCCCGGCTCTTGGCTGCAGGCCGAGCCTGAGCGCATCTCCAGTCTCACTACGTGTCTTTCAGTCTGTCTGTGTTGGCGAGGGGGCGGGGGCTAGATTGCCAGAAGTGGTGCTGTCACCTTTTCGCTCCCCTGCCCTCGGAAAACATATTCACATTTGTGCCTTTGTTTTCCCCATCCATTCTACAAACTTGTACTGAATGCTTGCTTCCAGTGTGTATGTGGGTTTTTATTTTGGTTTTGGTGTATCAGTCACTAGTCCTTGAAAGCAGTGGTACCTAGGAAGATATAGCCAACACTGTCGTCTTATAAAACAGGGAGTAGACAGTGCCCATTCGAGGGCAAAACTAGGATTAAGGGATGGATGCAAGGCCGATTACTGCAGTAACCCAACAGGAAGAGTAGCAAGGTAATGCCCTCCCTCTTCCCAACTTCCAAGCCTCCCCGGGAGTGTTAATGCAGGGACCGATGCCTTTTGGCAGAGAAGTTATTGATGAGCAGGAGACAGGAATCCTTGACCTCTAAGACTTTTTTCAGTTCAAAGATTCTAATACTATAAGAAAGGGATTGGCAGTAGTGGGAAACTGTCAGGGGAAGGGGGGTGGGATTGGCAGTTGAGGGAAACTGCTAGTGGAGGGAGGGGCATACCTCATCAACAAGGGTACCTGCACAATCAACGTTTATATACCTAACCCTGAATTGTACCCACATCTTTATAAAAAATAAGCAAACAAAAAACAAAGATTCTATGATTCTGTGATATTGATGTATTTGTATGATATTGTTACATGTCATATTTAGACAGATGGATATAGGCATGAGCATATGCAAGAAAGTTAGCACCACCACACCTCCTGCACCCCTCCAGGCCAGCACATTGCATGAGAAGGACATGTGACTTTATGATTACCCATTCTGTGTCACTCTGCTTCCCTGTTTTCCTCTAGTGCAGTTTTCTTAGATCTTATCCGTGTCTAGACAGTCTTTCCCAAATGGTATCTGCCCACAGACACCTAGGTAGGCACAGATAGAGTTCCCTGACTTCCTTTGTCTTGGCTCCAACTTTATCTCCCAGCCCTTCAGGAGGATGGCAGTAAGGGAGGGAAGACGAGATCAGTGCCTCTTTTGTAAGAAATTGTCTAAAATCTGAAACCATTTGGTTACCCTTTTTGCCACCCCTTCCACCCTAACTTCTATTCTCCTTAAACATCTGGCTGAGAATGTGAGAGTTCAGAGTAGAAAATGAAATATAAGACCAGGCACGGTGGCTCACACCTGTAATCCCAGCACTCTTGGAGGCCGAGGTAGGAAGCACTTAAGGCCAGGAGTTTGAGACCAGTCTGGCAACATAGCAAGGCACTGTCTCTACAAAAAACAATTTTTTAATTAACTACGCATGGTGGCTCATGCCTGTATTTCCAGCTACTCAGAAGGCTGAGGCAGGAGGATCATTGGAACCTGGAGGTTTGAGGCTGCAGTGAGCCATGATGGTGCTATTACCCTTCAGCCTGGGTGACAAAGCAAGGCCCTGACTCTAAAAAATAAAGTTAAAAACGGAAAATGAACATGAATCATTATTCAGGATATGTCAGTACATATTCCTCCTACTGCCATCTTGATACTTGTAGCTTTGGGCCTTTGCTACCAAGGGCACCTGGGACTATTAAAAAAAAACCTTGGCTGGGCATGGTGGCTCATACCTGTAATCCCAGCACCTTGGGAGACTGAAGCAGGAGGATTGCTTGAGCCCAGGAGTTTGAGACGAGGCTGGACAATATAGCAAGACCCTGTCTTTAAAAAATTTTTTAAATTAAGGCCAGATGCAGTGGTTCACACCTGTAATCCCAGCACTTTGGGAGACAGAGGCGAGAGGATTGCTTGAGCACAGGGGTTGGAGACCAGCTTGGACAACTTGGTGAGACCTTGTCTCTACAATAAATGGAAAAAAAAAAAAAAAAAGCCAGGCACGCCCCTGTAGTTCCAGCTACTTGAAAGATTAAAAGGGGCCGGGCTCGGTGGTTCAGGCTGTAATCCCAGCGCTTTAGGAGGCCGAGGTGCGTTGATTGCCTGACTCTGCGGGTTCAAGACTCGCCTGGGTAACTTGGCGAGACCTCATCTCTATAATAAATCAAAAAATTAGCCGGGCGTGGTAGCGCCTGCCTGTAGTTCCAGCTACTTGGAAGGCTGAGGCGTAAGGATCGCCAGAGCCCAGCAGGTCGAGGCTACGGTGGCCGGGAGCGGCCACTGCACCCCAGTCTGGGTGACAGAGCGAGACTCCAACTCAAAAAAAAAAAAAAAAAGAAAGACTAAAGGGAAAGGATCTCCTGAGCCCAGCAGGTTGAGTCTGTGGTGGCTGTGAGCATGCCACTACACTCCAGCCTGGGTGACAGTGAGACTCTAACTAAAAAAAAAAACAAAAAAATTAGCCAGGAGTGGTGGTGCATGCTGGTAGCTACTCCAGAGGCTGAGGTAGGAGAATCTTGGGAGCCTAGGAGGTGGTGGTTGCGGTAAGCTGTGATTGTGCCACTGCACTCCAGCCTGGGTGAAAAAGTGAGACTCAAGTCAAAAAATGAAAAACCTCAAGGCCTGAACTGGCTAAGGGGCTCAAGCGGTGAATGTTTTGTTGGCTACCTTGCTAGGGCTAAGTGCCTTGTAAGACTTCTGGAAGGCTAAGATAAGTGTCTATGAGTATGTCAAGTTCCCGTCCTACACCAGCAGTCCCCCACTTCAGCCTCACCTTCCACAGAAGCCCACCACAGCTCATCTCTCTTTTTTTTTTAGTCAGAGTCTCACTCTGTCACCCAGGCTGGAGTGCAGTGGCACACTCACGGCCACTGCACCCTCCACCTGCTGGACTCAGGTGATCCTTCCTCCCCAGCCTTCCAAGTAGCGGGAACTACAGGTGTGCGCCACCAAGCCCGGGTAATTTTTTGATTTGTTGTAGAGACAAGGTCTGCCAAGTTGCCCAGGCTGATCTCAAACCCCTGGTCACAGGCAATCCTCTCCCCTCGGCCTCCCAAAGTGCTGGGATTACAGGCTTGAGTCACAGAGCCAGGCCCAGCCACAGCTTCTCTCTTTATAACTGAAACTATCCTCTGGGTCTTCTGGAGCCCCATCCCCCAATCCCTATTCACTCATTCATCCATCCCAAACATTAGTGTCTCTCCTCCATCTATTTCTACTGAGGAACCTTAATTTGGCAAACTGTCCCAGGCTCCTTCGCCTCCCTTCTTCTGTTAATTACTCTTTCACTAATTAATTTTTTCCCAGTGTGTTTGACCAGTGGGCTCCCTGGAACTCCTTTTCCCTGAGCGTGGCAAAGGGGAGGATATGAGTGTCCAAGGCTTCAGAAAAGTGTGAGTAGACCTTGTTTTCTGGGCGAAGGCCCTAGAAAAGCAAAGAGCGAAGCATGGGTGTGTGTGTGTGTGTTGTTCACTTCAGTGTAGTGGAGGTGAGGTCAGGAGAGTACTAGAAAGCCACTCCCGTCCCCTGAGCGCGCCTGCCTCCCTGGCTCACTCACCTCCCCCACCCGGTACCCGTTTGTTTCCCACACAATCCGATTCCACGCCTTACACGCCCACCTCTCTTCCACAGCCCCACACCCGGCACCCGGTGCTGTCTTTTGTGTAAAGGTGTGTATGGCTTGAGTCCCTCCCTTGCCCGCTCACTCCCCCACACCTGGGCCCCCGTACGCTCTTTCTTTGCACAACCCCATTTTGCACGAGCCTCTCCCTCCCTGGTACACCTGCGTCTTTTGACCACTCGCCTTCCGCCCTCACCCCCGCCCCCTACACACACCTATTCTTGCACCCGTGTGCA